CAAAAACAAACAAACAAACAAACCGTGTACTTAATCAAAGTTTGTCCATCAATAAAGATATGCCTCGCATTCTTACGTAGGATTTCTATTTAGATTTCTAGCTAGGTTGAAGAAAGTCAATATCATTTGAAATTATTGCCCTACCTTGATCATTATACAAAAGTCGTTGCCTAGTGTGACCTGTTATTTTTATTTTATTTTTATCTTAATTTTTAACAAGATGGTTTCTTAAAGTGTGAAATTTATTTCAGATAGAAAATGTTAACATCACGTTAAATGCTTGATAGACCTGCATTGATTTAAGAAAATGTTAAGAAAAAACTTAATTTTAACATTAAAATAACCAGTGATATATGACTTCAAAACCAATTAAACTACGTTGTCTCTTCAGACGACATACCTGTAATAGGACGATTTCCAGGCAGACCACCAATGCCGGGTATGCCTGCCGTAGGATCTGACGGGACTCGAACCCTACAACATGAGTCAATTCTGAGTTGATTGCAGCAATACTGGCGCTGAGGCAAGGACAGGCTGCCGCATCTTGAACAAGCACTAGAATGAAAAATCCTCTGTGCACTGACTACCGAAACTAAGATTAGGCCTAACAAAATCAGGAGGATTGTGCACTTCATGTTTGGTTTCCAACGAGTACTGTTCAGTTCGTTTACCTTACACTAAATACAAAAAAAAATCATTATAATTGAAACAAATATACAAGTAAAAAACATAACTATCACTGCTAAATATGACATATAGTACAGAAATATAATTGTTACCAATGTCTCAACAGATCTTAAATGAAAACAAATGTTAATGATTTAGAAGATAAATAACAAACTTGTTTACACTGGTGAGCATATAAAATAAAAATAATAACTGTAATAACTCTTAATACATAATAACAATCTGAAATCAACGACGATCAGAATTACCTCGCTTTATTAAAATGTTTTTACTAAGAGTTCCAGAAGAACAGACATGGAACATCGTTTGTGCTTGATTCTCTACCTAAACTGCAAGAACTGTCAAGTATTGTCCAAATTGTTTTATGTTTTTAAAAATCACAAAAAATAGAGCTCATTCAGACTTAGTCTTTGTGTTTAGTTCTTAATGATTTCAAGTCAACATGCTTCTTCATAATACACGGTTACTTGGCAATATTTAAAGGTAGAAAGAACTTAATGTTAGTAAATTTGCTCAGCTTTAGATTTTTGACTAACAACGTTTCTGACAGTTTTGATCCTGATAATTTGATTGTGAACTAAATGTTACTTTGCTGTTATGTTAAACTTATATTAAAGTTTTTCTCCAACCATTATTAATGTTACTTTGTTTTGACATGTTAGCTTACCTTTACTTGAAAAGAAACAATAATCTTTGTTTCCTCGTTTTACTTGTTACTTAAAATATGAAACCAGACTTGGTACTGTCTATCTGTCTGCGATTAGGTTTCCCTGTTTAGTGTTAAAATTCCAGGAACTTCGACGTTTTTATCAACACTGTAATCCAAATCTTAGTGACTTGAAAATAAACCAATGATCAGATTCCCCTGCACGTGACTATCATCTTCAGCCAGTCAGTTGTTAGTATCTATTTTTAGCGTCTTTCGATTTTCAAGTAAACACACCCAAAAACTCAAACGGTTGGTAAACAGCAAAATCGCATTTCGAAATATCTACCAGGAAAGTATGTTGACAAAATGTGCCTGTTTTCAGGAGATCAAAGCATAGTTATATATCTCGCGTTTCGTTGAATTTGTCAAAATAAGAATATTGTTCCTATTTTCTTTTCATATAATCGCCATTGATAAAGAAACATAAACAGTAAAAACATATATTTATTTAATTATTAGAAATATTCAGCCACATATCCTATTCTATGTAGAATTTGTTTAATTTATCTTTACTTAATAGAGAGTTAAGACAAATTTGAATACTAACAAATGTTAATAGCTGGACTCTTGAAAACTTTCCCAAGTATCTAAACATCGAAATTGAAAGTTAAAATAGTATTCATTTCTATTTGTTGAAACTGCTTGTTAATACAAAAGTCCTGTATTAACTTTACTCAATAATTGGTAAAATTTGTTTTTGTTGCAATGCACTATTCATATTAGGTAATATTTTCAGTAAAGAGTAAATACTGTAATAGCGCGCATTTATTTAGTTTTAGTTTTTCGAAACTCTTGGGATATCTGATCTGTTTATCAGTTTGAGTTTGTATATTCTGCTTACACAATATCAACATTTTCAACGATAATGTTTTCTAATTTTGTCTGCTTCTAACAACGTGTGTTATTCGAAACTACTTTTAGCAAAAACATTTAGTCTGACATCTGCAATTGAGTTCAATAGTATTTGAACGACTTTCTTTTTTCAAAAATAGTTTTTATAAATAACATTCGTTTTCAGCAAGACCTCAAGCAGTCTAAGAAATAATCACCAATGGCACCAACCGACCCTTCCAGCCTGTTTACTACTACCTGACACAGTTGATAACACCAAGTCTGACAGGCCCTTTTAGATTAACGCTGAGGAGACAATATCAGTCCTGAAAACCACAGGAACTGTAAGAGTGACATCTGTTAGCAATTCTAGCAGGTCCACCTCATTTCCAAACTGAAGAAAAGCTTCCAAGATTTGAATTTCAGTTATACACCTGTCAAATGTTTCATGAAGATCAGCACGTTTTGAAATTTTATGTCAGCAAATTTAATTTTTAAAATTTGGGTTTTGTACATTCATTGTGAAAAGTTCCGGACAAAAAAATTAAAGAATCCATTTTAACCAAAAAAAGGAAACCTAAAATGGACAAACACACAGGTTGGCCATTAGTGTAGAGACGTTAATGAGATTTTATAGATTTTAATATGTTGAACTTTGTCGAAGTCTCTAAACACACTTATAAGGGTTGAAATACATGTTCAGACATTGTTTTATTTATGTATTGATATAATAAGATGGAATAATACTTACCAATACAAATATGAATAAATGTTTTAGATACGAAACGTATTCTATTCTACTGCAAATGTTTTCCAGATCGAGCCTAGTATATATTAATAATTAATACCGGTACTGTTTCTCTCTCTCTTTCCCTCTCAGTTTTTATTGACCGTACTTTTTCTGTCTATGCTCTAAGTTTTGTAACACTTTCCCTATCGATCTGCAATGTCTGTCAAGTCGCATCTCTTTCAACTGGTTTCGACTAATGTAGAGACTGATCAGTAACAGGTGCTTTGAATGGTTGACAATGGCTAGAAAAGCGCTGTATAAAGCCGCTCAGATAAAAATATGAGTCGTTTAACACAACAGAAACACACACATGAGCAGTTGTGCACTTATATCAGAAAACAAACAAACTTCTACCCGAATGCTCGTGCTCGACGTGCTAAGTACTAGGCCACCCCAGACCCCAATTAATAATACTGCTTTAAATGTTTTCTATATACGTACAAGATAAATATTTTGACTCCACCAAATGTAATTCTAGGTAACAGCATGGAGCCAAAATAGAAGTTTGTAGTTTGAGTAAATAATGTTTAAGTATCTCCAGCCTTGTTTCTTTACTGTTTTTACGATCTCTTTGCAGGTTTTTAAATTCCCAATTGTTTATTTATCTTCTTTGCTGGCTTTTTTATGTTCACTTGATATTGTAGTTAACTTGATACATGGTAATGATAATAAACATAGCTGGTAGCTAGCTGATACAGTTCATGATGATTTACTGTAGCCATTGACTATTTCATCGCATTAGTTCGAGATGTGAAATGTTAAGCTGCAGCTGGAGATTTTCATAGAGATTTGTTTGAGAATATAGTGAAGATTTATAGTTTCTGGGTAACTAAATTCTCTATATATAATGCATAGCAATGTACTCACCGGTACTGAGTACCGGAACTTATTTTAGCTGCTTTGTCATTTTTGTTTACATGTAGATTTATTTTCATTTTTCAAAAACAGGTCCACTTCACCCACCTGAGTACCTCTACGTTTTATGAGAATTTCGCCCCTGTCAGTGGACAAATATATGCCTAAACTAAGACACAACCCCCACTAAGCGCGTATAAAATTTTACCAGTAGAAAATCAACCTTTTCATATCAAACATATATGTCTAAAACATCGCTTTAAATAAACCTTTGTGTATTTTAAAGTAATTATTCCACGAATGTGTGTAATAAAATTTAATATTATGAATACTGATTTTTCAACTACTTCACTTCACACATAATATAAGGGTTGGCTCCCTAAAGACACCTATTGTATAATGTACAAAGCATTGAGCATCTACATGTTACATCCATCTAATGTTCATCTATTATTCCTATTTCACTCTGTATTTAAGCTTTTTAAAGGCATACAAGATATTTTTTTGTTGTTTTTTTTTGGTTTTTGAAGTGAGTAGACATGCTAATATTTTGTTCCTGAAGGAATCCTTCACATCGATCATTGTTCTTACGTTTTTATTAGTAGGTATCTCCTCGATCCTTCTCAGGGCCAATAAAAACTATGACTCGTACACCGACCAAGTCACATACTGGCGTCACCACCAGGTCGGCAGGCCAACTGCTGTCCCCGATGAAATTAACAATCGTGCTTGAATCAGCCCTAGACGATGCGGCCTCGGATTATACATCGACCAAGGAACACTCGGATGACGACGCTTCCAGCGACTCCTCTCTCCCGACACTGGACATTAACAACGACGGATTCACCATTGTAAAAAGAAAGAAATAAAAGAAGACAGCGCCGGTAAGTAATATTCCCAACATTAGTCCTAAGGATAACAATAAGCAAACAAACACCACTGAAAACAACACACAAAACCTCGAGAACGAAAAACAATACCACATCCCGGCACTTATCATTGAAGGCATACCCTTGACACTAAGAATCCCTCTAATAGTTAAAGAAATTAGAAAACATTTCACGAACTTAAATTTCAAAGACATCTACAGACTTCCAAAAGGAGGTGTTCTTCTGAAGTGCTCTTCCCCCAAGGACTATGCACACATCCTAGCCCACAAGCCCAACACGGCATTTGACGGTAAAACGTCCATTCACCGACTACACAACCAGCCATCGTCATCAGAGGTGTCGATCTCAACATCGAGGACGACGAAATCATTGAGGAACTTAAAATCATTGGCTACAACAACACCACAGTCAAAATAATAACTTCATTCAAAACAAAACAAAAACATCCTTCGTAAAAGTAACCGTCGATAATAAAGAAGACCATGATAAACTATTAAAAGACGGTTGCTCACTTTTCTTCAAAAAGCACTTCACGGAACCCGTAAAAACACCTGCCAGACAGATTTTACAGTGTTACAACTGCCAAAAGTTCGGGCACAGTAAACCAGGTTCCCCTAAATGGGTTAGATGCTCAGGCCCACACGATGTCACCAAATGCCCTAACGAGCGCAATCAGGTCACCTGCGCTAACTGTCAAGGTCCCCACGCTGCAAGCTACAGAGTATGCCCCAAATTTACACAAGTTCGGGATAGAGTTCTCTTTAGAACTGAAAAGACCCCATCCTCATCACAAATCACGGAATTCTCACCACTATCCCGACCACAACGTCAGCCACTACTCGAAACACCTCCAGTAGACGTAAACACACACAACACTACCACAGCCCAGCCCACAGTTCCACCGAAACCATACTCACACGCAAGCGAAATAGGCTCTCATCAACCAAGCAACACCACTAGCACACTAATTTCCTTCAACCCCCCTGAATATACCATCAACCTTTTGTCAATGCTGGTAGAATTAAGAGAGTACCCTGACTTCTCTACAGGGGCAGAGTGTTTAGAAGCTCTCTGCTCAATCGCTAGACATTACTTCCCCCCCCCCACCCCAACCTCAAACCACACCACATCTCACTAAGAATAGCCCAACGTACACTACAAACACAACATTCACAGACACAATCAAATAAAGCACCTCAACTATCAAGGTGACCTAGTCACAAAAAAACTTGAAATATTCAATCTAAATAAACAGGTAAAAGCCAACATTCTGATAATCTCAGAAACATTAGCTAAAGAAAACCATAATGTTAACATCCCAGGCTTCAAATCATACTCTCTTCCTCACACAAACAACAATAAAGGCATAGTTCTATACTGTAACAATAATATAACCAACATAATATCCATTGAAGAGAATATAAATGAAACCATTTACTGAAACATCCACATAAACAATAGAATAACCATCCCAATAGTTGCCATTTACTGCTCCCCCCCCCCGAATAGTTGTCAAGAAATCCACAACCCTTAATTATAGGCAATCTTAAAGCCCCACACAAAGACCTTAATGGAAAAAGAAACACATCTAGAGGAACATTGAGCCAACAACAACATGCACACCATAAATGATGATACACTTACACATTATCACTCGCCAACGAACACGTACGAGGTACTTGACCTTATAGTCTCGACCGC